AGCGCCAGTTCCCCGCTCTCCACCAGCTCAGGAGCCTCTTCCGTCGGTACCTAAGGGAGGGAGGCCTGGCGTTAGCGCCTAACATCGCATTTTGGTTTCTCTTTATAGATATATACATACATAATATGCCTTTATAGGTTGCTCTGTTGCAAGTGCAAGCTAGGCAAAGACAGCGCAGTCTTACCCGCCATGGCTGCGCGAGACCCTGCAGGCCGTGGAAGCTGGTGATGGTCCTGGCGAGGGCCGTGTGAGGGCGTGGGCGGCTGAGGATGGGCGTGGTGTGCAGGGAAGAGACGAGACGGGGAAGAACGCGGGTCAGAGTGCTGGCCATTTTTGCTTTCTGTCCAAGAAACGATAAAAAGTACCCATAAAATCACTGCAGAAATATCTTAAGAACTCTTTCGCCGGAATTTAATCGACAAATTTAGGAACTCTGTTTACTGATACTCACATTGTATCTGTCGTGTGGTAAGACCCTTTTGGATAAGTTGTCTGTCGAGCTCCGTGGTCTGAGTGAGAACCTGCACGATAAGCCATCTTTTTATACTGGCAACGTTATCGCCCATGGAGTGGTGTGTGAGTGTGTGTGTGTATGTGTGTGTGTGTGTGTGTGTGTGTGTGAGCAATGTGTTTAAAATTGTGTTGGTGTTTTTAAGTAGCAGAATTTATGGCAGTACAGCCAGTCTATTCTGAACCTATTGTCTTAGTTATGAAGACACATTGACAAAGAGACTAATTAACATCATCAACGAAGGTGGGGTTGAATTTTACTTCCTTGTTTCTGTGTGTGTGTGTGCCCGGGGGGGGGGGGGGGACTGGGGACACGAGCCACACCTGTAGAGACAAATACAGATTCGATTGCTTTCGAGTGAAAGGAATATGCACAAACTCAAATTCACACATGGAATGGTACATGCACATACTGTCCATATATAAAAGCCCATTCACACATAAACGTTTGTCATACTGTATAAAGATACATTTACACATGTGCCCCCTTGCCCATGTGTGGGGGAGAGGTGGATAAATTAGTCTATGTACATATGATTGTATAGTTATATAGACAAATAAACAGACAGACCGATATACGCAATCCATGACCAATGGGGTGTGGATGACCTTTGACCTTGGCTCGCTTCCTGTGACCTGTGTCTTTCGAGCTAAAAGTCTTATATCGATTGCTTTCGGATGAAAGGAATATGAACAAACGCAGATTCACACATAAAAGGGTACACACACACACTGTACATCTCATGTAAACACCAATGCACACATACACTTTTGTCGCACTGTATGAAAATACATTCATACATACGACTCCTTGCCTATGTGTGGGGTAGAGTTGGATAATTTAGTCTATGTACATATCATTTAGGGTTTCTGTTCTTGCTTCTGGAGCCTCTCAGTCTGCTCTTTATACGCGTCCCGTTTATCCATAGGGTATTCTTTTCAGTGTGGAGTCCGACTTGAAATTCCTTGGTTTCGCTTTGTTTTCTCTTTGTGTCTGTTTCAGCTCATGACATTTACATCTATAGATTTTGTATCTTGTGGCTTATATAAAGCTGGATGGATTTAATTATTTTTTCTCTATATACATCTATATACCTTGTCTGCTTTAGGTTTTGATCTTCAGTTATATGAAACGACACCACACACGATATATAAACAAATTCACTCTGTTACATCAGTTGCAGACCTACTCGACGATGGAGACTGCCTGACCTTTGTGTGCCATTTGTATCTGAGGTTTTCAAGAAGATTACATTACACTTTCTAAGTACACTTTTCCATGCCTGAATTTGTATACTAATGTGTTTGTGTTTGTCCCGCCTAATCTTCCTGTGTAGTCCCCTCCTCTTCCCTTTGTAGACTCGATATTCCAGCACGGATTATCAATGACTTTTTCCTACTTAAAAAGTACGATCAAAATGTGTCCCTCTTTTTATCTTTGCTCTTAAAGTGTCAGCTGATACGAAGCTGTGATGTGACCTTTTCACTATCGAAACCATTGGAAGGAATCAGTTAAAACATATACATCCTCGTTCTATTATCTTCTTGAGTGTGTGTGTTCGTACGTGCGCAAAGACGAGGCTGTTCGTCAAAAGCAAGTTATCGTCGATATCTTATCACGAACACGTTCCGGACTTGCCCAAACTGGCCAGTGACTACTATCGAAGCGGCTGATAACGAGTCTGAGGTCGAAGATCTTCCCAGGGATAAGGGTTTTTCTCTCCCTTATTTTCTCCCTTTGTCCTGTCTGTTTATCTCTCTCTCTCTCTCTTTCTCCCTCTCTCTCTTTCCTCTCCTTCTCCCGTCCCCTCCCTCTCTTTCGCTCTCTTCCTTCTTCCCTCTCTCTCTCCTCATCCTCTCTTTTAATCTCTCTGTCTATCTATATCTGTGTGTGTGTGTGTGTGGTGTGTGTGTGTGTGTGTGTGTGTGTGTGGTGTGTGTGTGTGTGTGTGTGTGTGTGTGTGTGTGTGTGTGTGTGTGTGTGTGTGTG